GGGAATTCTGGGAATTCCAACCTGGAGCCCAGCCCAGGAATTGCAGGAATTCCAAACCAGAACCAGCCTGGGAATTCCAGGAATTCCAACCCAGAGCCCAGCCTGGGAATGCTGAACTGGGAATTCCAGGGATTCTGGGAATTCCAGCCCGGAGCCAGCCTGGGAATTCTGAGCTGGGAATTTTGGGAATTCTGGGAATTCCGAGCTGGGAATTCCAGGAAAAAATGGGATCCAAAGAGGTTCAGGGGAACAAACAGGATCGGGGAAAAATGGGATCCGGGGAAGCAAACGGGATCCAGGGAAAAAAAACCGGGATCCAAACGGGATCAGGGAAACAGCTGGGACCCAAATGGGATCCATGGGAAGAAATGGGATCCAGGGAGACAAAAAGGATCCGAGGGCAAATGGGATCCAGATGGGGTCAGAGGAACAAAGGAGATCCAGGGGAACAAACAGGATCCAGGGGAATCTGGGATCCAGGGAAAAATGGGATCCAAATGGGACCAGGGGGAACAAATGGGATCCAGGAGACAAAGAGGATCCAGGGAAATCCACTGGGATCCAGGGGAGCAAATGGGATCCAAATGGGATCCAAATGGGATCCATGGGAAAAATGGATCTGGGAAAACAAACAGGATCCAAATGGGATCAGGGAAACAAATGGGATCCAGGGGACAAACAAGATCCAGGGAAATCCAGTGGGATCCAGGGAAAAAACAGAATCCAGGGAAAAACGGGATCCAAATGGGATCAGGGAAAACCATTGGGATCCAGGGGAACAAACGGGGTCCAAATGGGATCGGGGATCCAAATGGGATCAGGGAAAAACAGGATCCAGGGAAAAATGGGATCCAAATGGATCGGGGAAAACCATTGGGATCCAGGGGAACAAACGGGGTCCAAATGGGATCGGGGATCCAAATGGGATCAGGGAAACAAATGGGATCCAGGGGAACAAATGGGGTCCAAATGGGATCAGGGAAAAACAGGATCCAGGGAAAAATGGGACGCAAACAGGACCAAGGAAACAAACGGGATCCAGGGGAATCCAATGGGATCCAGGGGAACAACCGAGATCCAAATGGGATCCAGGGAACAAACAGGATCCAGGGGGAAATGGGATCCAAATGGGATCAGGGAAAAATGGGATCCAGGGGAACAAAGGGGATCCAGGGGGAATGGGATCCAGGGGAATCCAACGGGATCCAGATGGATCAGAGGAACAAAGGGGATCCAGGGGAACAAATGGGATCCACAGGAACAAACAGGATCCAAATGGGATCAGGGAAACAAATGGGATCCAGGGGACAAACAAGATCCAGGGAAATCCAATGGGATCCAGGGAAAAAACAGAATCCAGGAAAAACGGGATCCAAATGGGATCAGGGAAAACCATTGGGATCCAGGGGAACAAATGGGGTCCAAATGGGATCGGGGATCCAAATGGGATCAGGGAAAAACAGGATCCAGGGAAAAATGGGATCCAAATGGGATCGGGGAAAACCATTGGGATCCAGGGGAACAAACGGGGTCCAAATGGGATCAGGGAAAAACAGGATCCAGGGAAAAATGGGACGCAAACAGGACCAAGGAAACAAACGGGATCCAGGGGAATCCAATGGGATCCAGGGGAACAACCGAGATCCAAAGGAACGAACAGGATCAGGATCAGGGGAACAAAAAGGATCCAGGGGACAAACGGGATCAGGGAAAAATGGGATCCAGGGGGAAATGGGATGTAGGGAAACAAATGGGATCAGGGAAAAATGGGATCTAGGGGACAAACAGGATCCAGGGAAAACCACTGGGATCCAGGGGAACAAATGGGATCCGAATGGGATCCAGGAGAATAAAGAGGATTGGGGGAAATGGGATCCAGGGGGAGATGAGATCCAGGGAACAAATGGGATCCAAATGGGATCAGGGGAACAAACAGGATCCAGGGAAATCCAGTGGGATCCAGGGGACAAATGGGATCCAAATGGGATCAGGGGAACAAACAGGATCCAGGGAAATCCAGTGGGATCCAGGGGACAAATGGGATCCAAATGGGATCAGGGAAGCAAATGGGATCCAGGGAACAAACAGGATCCAGGGGAAAATGGGATTCAAATGGGATCAGGGAAAAATGAGATCCAGGGGGAAAAACGGCATCCGGGGAAATGGGATCCAAGGGAACAAACGGGATCAAGGGGAACAAAAAGGATTCAGGAAACAAAAGGAATCAGGGAAAAATGGGATCCAGGGGAATCCAGTGGGATCGGGGAAACAAACAGGACCCCAATGGGATCCATGGGAAGAACTGGGATCCAGAAAAACAACTGGGATCCACGGGAACAAACGGGATCCATGGGAATCCAGGATCCAGGGAAACAAACGGGATCCATGGGAACAAAGGGGATCCAAATGGGATCCACGGGAACAAACGGGATCCATGGGAATCCAGGATCCAGGGAAACAATTGGAATCTACGGGAACAAAGGGGATCCAAATGGGATCCACGGGAACAAAGGGGATCCATGGGAACAAAGGGGATCCAAATGGGATCCACGGGAACAAACGGGATCCATGGGAATCCAGGACCCCTGATCCCCCCACTCCAGCCCCTGCAGCCCCCCCCCGGGTCCCCATTCCCGATTTCCCGATGGAATTCCGGGATCCCGGCGCTCACCAGACGTCCTCGGGCCACCCGTACTTGATCAGGTCCTCGTCTGCGGGAACGGGAACGGGGTCAGCCCCAAATCCCGGGATTCCAACCCAAATCCCAGAATTCCCACCCCAAATCCAGGGATTCAAGCCCCAAATCCCAGAATTCCCACCCCAAATCCTGGGATTCCACCCCAAATCCCAGAATTCCCACCCCAAATCCCAGGATTCAAGCCCCAAATCCAGCCCTAAATTCCCAGATTCCAGCCCCAAATCGTGCCACAAATCCCAGAGCTGTAACCCCAAATCCAGCCTGAAAATCCCACCCTAAATCTAGGAATTCCCACCCCAAGTCCAGGACTCCCATCCCAAAATCCCAGAATTCCAATCCCAAATCCTGGGATTCCCACTCCAAATTCCAGGATTCCCATCCCAAAACCAGCCACAAAATTCCCCTCCCAAAAATCCCCGAAATTCTGAAAATAGACCTTGAAATTCCCCCAAAAACTCCTGAAACAATTCCCCAAACAATTCCTGAATTCCCAAAATGGATCCACAAAGTCCTCAAAAAAAATCCCAAATTAATTCCTGCGATTCCCAAAATTTCCCCCCAAAAATTCCCAGAGAATTTCCAAAACTCAAAAAACAATCCCCAGAATTCCCAAAATTCCCAAAAATTCCCAGAATTCCCGGCGGGTCACTCACTCTCGTACTTGTCCTTGCCCATGTAGATGGTGTAGACGGCGGCAGCGGCTGCGGGAAAACCAGGAATGGATTCATGAAAACAGGGAATGGATCCATGGGAAATCCGGGGAAACCCCGGGAATGGATTAATGAAGAATGGGAATGGATCCATGGGAAACCCAGAAGGGATCAATGGAAAACGCTTGGGAATGGGATCCGTGGAAAACCCACAAATAAGTCAATAAAAACTGGAATGGATCCATGGAAAACTTGGGAAAAACCTGGGAGAAACCTGGGAATGGATCCAGGAAAACCAGGAATGGATCCCTAGAAAACACGGGAATGGATCCATGGAAAACCCGGGAATGGATCAATGAAAACTATGGAATGGATCCATGGAAAACTTGGGAAAAACCTGGAGAAACCTGGGAATGGATCCATGGAAAAGCCAGGAATGGATCCATAGAAAACACGGGAATGGATCCATGGAAAACTTGGGAAAAACCTGGGAGAAACCTGGGAATGGATCCAAGGAAAACCCAGGAATGGATCCATAGAAAACACGGGAATGGATCCATGGAAAACCTGGAATGGATCAATGAAAACTATGGAATGGATCCATGGAAAACTCAGGAACTGAACTATGGAGAACCGCAGGAATGGATCCACGAAAAACCCAGAATGGATGTGTGGAAACCTGGGAATGGACCCATGGGAAATCCGGGATTGGATCCATGGAAAACCTGGGAATGGATGAATGAAAACCATGGAATGGATCCATGGAAAACCCAGGAAAAACCCAGGAATAGATCCATGGAAGACCTGGGAATGGATCCATGGAGAACCCAGGAATGGATCCACGGAAACCTGGGGAAAAACTCCAGAATGGACCCATGGAAAACCCGGGATGGATCCATGGGAAACTGGGATTGGATTGATGCAAAACCCGGAATGGATCCCTGGAGAAGTGGGAGTGGATCCATGGAAACCTGGGAAAAAACCGGGAATGGATCCATGGAAAACTCAGGAATGGATTAACGGAAATCAGGAAAGGATCAATGGAAAACCCGGGTATGGATCAGTGGAAAACCAGGGGATGGATCCATGGGAACCCCCATGGAAAACCAGGAATGGATCCATGGAAAACCTGAAATGGATCTATGGAATCTAGAAATGGATCCATGGAAAACTGGGAATGGATCCATGGAAAATCTTGGATCGGATCAATGGAAATTGGGAATGGATCAACGGAAACCGAGGAATGGATCCAAGGAAAACCTGGGAATAACCTGGGAATGGATCCATGGAAAACCCCGGGAGTGGATTAATGGAAAATCTGGAGTGGATCCACAGAAAACCCAGGCATGGATCCACAGAAAACCCGGGAATGGATTAATAGAAAACTCAGGAATGGATCCAGGAAAAACTGGGGAAAAAACCTGGACTGGATCCATGGAAAACGGCAACGGATCCATGGAAAACTCAGGAACAGCCCCATGGAAACCTAGGAATGGATCCATGAAAAACCCAGGACTGAACCCATGGAAAACCCAGGAAAGGATCCATGGGAAACCCAGGAATGGATTAATGGGAAACCTGGGGAAAACCCGGGATTGGATCCATGGAAAACCCAGGAATGGATCAATGAAAAGCATGGAATGGATCCATGGAAACCCGGGAACTGATCCATGGAAAACCTGGGACTGGATCTCTGGAAACTCGGGATTGGATCCTTAGAAACCCCCATGGAAAACGATCCAGGAACGGATCCATGGAAAACTCAGGAAAAAACCCCAAAATCCAGCAGAATTTCTGGATTCCTGGGAATTTTTTCCCCAGGTTTTTTTGGGGAGCCCAAATTCCCTCCCTGGGCTTTTCCAGGGAAATCTGGGAATTCCTGTGGGGTTGGATGCCTGGGAATTCCGGCACATTCCGGCCGGAATTCTCAAAATTCCCAAATTCCTCCCAAAATTGCCAAATTCCACCCTGCTCCTGCCTTTTATTTTGGAATGTTTGCATCAAAAATTCCCAAAATCCCAAAAAATCCTCATGGGAAAGTGGAATTGAAAATAGTCCCGGATTGGGCTGGAAAACGCAGGAAAAATCCAGGAAAAATGAAGGAAAAGTCCTGGAAAATTGCAGGAAAATCCAGGAAAAGTCGGCCCCTGAAATTCGGCCCCAAATTGGGAATTCAAGGAGAATTCCCGGATTTTTTCGGAGCCATTCCGGTTTCCCCCGCGAATTCCCGGTAGGAACATTCCCGGGATTTGTTTTCCCCGCGGGAATTCCGGAACTCGTGGGAAAATCCCGTGGAAAACCCCGCGAAAAGGAGAAATCCCGGGAATTGCGGGGATTCTGGGGGGGATGCGGGAAAAGGGCGGGAATTGGGGAGCAGGGCGGGAATTGCAGCGGGGAATTGGCGGGAAAAGGGGATTGGGGCGGGGATTCCCCGAGAATTCCCGGGAATTCCCTCTCTCACCGTTGGAGGTGAAGTAGAACACCATGGCTGCGGCGGCGCTGATCCCGCTGCTCCCGGCGCTCCCGGTTATCCCGGGTTTATCCGTTTTTCCCGCTTTATCCCGTTTTTATTCCGGTTTTTCCCGGGCCCGTCCCGGGCCTCCGCCGCCTCCTCCGCAGGGAAGGCCCGGCAGGGAAGGGACCGTGCGTAATGACGCCAGAGCGGCGTGCGGAGAATGCGCATGCGCAGAGCAGATTTTGGAGTGCTCGTGTGAATGGGAGAATGGGAGCTGCGCGTGTGCGGGCGGCCATGACACTGTACGGAAATCTCACTGCGCGTGCGCACACTGGCCGCGATGGTATCCATAAACGTCACTGCGCATGCGCCGGACGGCCATGACACTGTACGGAAAACAGAACCGCGTCTGCGAGGGCGGCCATGATACCATACGGAAGATCTCACTGCGCATGCGCAGATCAACCGTACATGCGAATGGCAGCAAGTTGCGCATGCGCAGTGCCTTGGGGGGAATGTCTTTTGTTTTTCCTTTTCTTTCCTTTTTTTTCTCGCCTTGGTTTTTTCCTCTCTTTCCTTCACTGCCTCCTCTTTTCCCCTTTCCTTTTCCTCTTCCCATTTCCCCTTTTCCTTTCCTTCTCTTTTCCTTTTTTCTTTCTCCTTCCCGCTATTTTCACCCCCTTCCCTTTCCCCCTTTTCCTTTTCCTTTTTCTCATCTCATTCCTTGTTTCCTTTCCTTTTTCACCCCTTTCCTCTTCCCCGTCCTTTTCCCTCTCTTCCCCATTTTTTTTTCCTTTTTTTATCCCCGAAAATGGGGGGGATTCAACAATTTGAACCGAATGAACATCCCAGGCAAGGGATCGATCACCACCAGGGAACCAAACCCTCCCAGCTGGGCCATATCAGAGCAATAAAGGAGAATTTATTTGGAGTTTTGGTGGATAAAACGTGAAAGATCCACTCAAGAGCCGCCCTTTCTCCTTTTACCCGTTTTTTCCCCTTTTCCTATGCTGGCCACTGGGGCTTGGAGCACCCCGGGGCGGTGGAAGGGGGTGCCCGCCCACAGCAGCTCGCCGGTGCCCTAATTAACACAAGAATCCTTAATTAGCGCCTCGTTACCCGCCCATTAACTCCCAACCCGTCCGCATTCCTTCCCTTCCCTCAGAATCTCCCGCGCCCGGGACGCGCTGTAGCGAGATTACAACTCCCATCAGCCCCCGCGCGCCGCAGAGCGAGGAAGAGCCGCTGTGTTCTCGCAAGGCACGCTGGGAGTTGTAGTCTAATGGCGGGCCCGCGCCGAGAGCCGCGCTCTCTGATTGGCTGCAAAGCAGCGGGGGCGGGCACAACCCGGAGCCGCGCGCTGTTCAACCAATGGCGAGGGAGCACAGCTGGATGACGCGGCGCTCAGCCAATAGAAGCGCAGGGCGGGCGGTTCGAAGGCGCGAGGCTGAAGGCGGGAAGCAGCCATGGCGGAGGCGGCGCTGAGGTGAGGAAGCGGCTCCGAGGGGGCTCTGAGGGGACTCTGGGGGAGCTCTGAGGGGGCTCTCTGAGGGAGCTCTGAGGGGGCTGTGAACGAGTTCTGAGGCGGGAGCTGTGAGGAGGCTCTGAGGGGCTCTGATGGAGCTCTGAGGGGGCTCTGATGGAGCTCCAAGGGACTTTGAGGGGCTCTGAGAGAACTCCGAGAGGGCTTTGCGGGATCTCCGAGCAGCTCTGATGGGGGCTTTGAGGAGGATCAGGGGGGCTCCGAGGGAGCTCAGAGAGAGCTCCGAGTGAGCTCCAAGGGGCTCTGCTGGAGCACTGAGCAGCTTTGAGGGGGCTCTGACGGAGCTGTTGTTTTGCGGGGACAAACAAAACTCCACAGCTTTGTGAAAATTTGTTTATTACCTCCGCTATGTTTATTATTACAGCACGGACGCGTGTGGAGATTACTCTCCTTAAAAGACATGCATGCCTCTGGAATTCTACATCCTTTTTTATCCCGCTCTTAAATAGTTCAGCGTGCAATTTCACAATAGGTTCATGCATATTCATTTTTGCAAATTTCGGGTGACATTTGCCGCTAGTTCTTCTTTATCAGAAACAATTCCTAGGTCAGGTTAACCTGCTCTCATAGCAGGTTTTTGTCTCTCTGTCTCTCCCCCTTTATCTGCGTCCTTTGGCTGAAGCAGTTTCTTTAAGCCTGGGCTTTTTACGAGAACGGGCAGTCAGACTAAACAGCTATATTTTCAAACTAGATGTACATTTCACCTAAATCCAAATGGATTTCTGCTCTGGAGAATTTCTACTCTGCCTCACTGTGAGGGAACTCTGGGGCGGCTCTGATGGAGCTCCAGGGGAGCTCTGAGGGGATGTGAGCGGGCTCCGAGGGGCTCCGAGGGCTCTGATGGAGCTCTGAGGGATGTGAGCGGGCTCCGAGGGGCTCCGAGGGGCTCTGATGGAGCTCTGAGGGGATGTGAGTGGGCTCCGAGGGGCTCTGATGGAGCTCTGATGGAGCTCTGAGGGGATGTGAGTGGCTCCGAGGGGCTCCGAGGGGCTCTGATGGAGCTCCAGGGGAGCTCTGAGGGGATGTGAGTGGGCTCCGAGGGGCTCTGATGGAGCTCCAGGGGAGCTCTGAGGGGATGTGAGTGGGCTCCGAGGGGCTCTGATGGAGCTCCAGGGGAGCTCTGAGGCGATGTGAGCGGGCTCCGAGGGGATGTGAGTGGGCTCTGAGGGGCTCTGATGGAGCTCCAGGGGAGCTCTGAGGGGATGTGAGTGGGCTCTGAGGGGCTCTGATGGAGCTCCAGGGGAGCTCTGAGGGGATGTGAGTGGGCTCCGAGGGGCTCTGATGGAGCTCCAGGGGAGCTCTGAGGGGATGTGAGTGGGCTCCGAGGGGCTCTGATGGAGCTCCAGGGGAGCTCTGAGGGGATGTGAGCGGGCTCCGAGGGGTTCTGATGGAGCTCTGAGGGGCTCTGGGGGCGGCTCTGAGGGAGCTCTGAGGGGGCTCTGCGGGAACTCCGAGGGGTTCTGAGGGAGGAGTGGGACCTGAGTGGGTTCCGAGGGACTCTTGAGTGGACTCTGAGGGAGCTCCGAGGCGGCTTTGCGGGAGCTCTCAGGAGGCTCTGAGGGCGCTCTCGGGGAGCTCCGAGCAGCTCTGGTGGAGGTTTTGAGGAGGTTCCGAGGAAGCTCCAAGGGGCTCTGAGGGAGCACTGAGGAGGCTCTGATCGAGCTGTGAGGGGGCTCTGAGGGGCTGTGAGGAAGCACTCAGGGGCCTCTAATGGAGATCTGAGGGGGCTCTGAGGACGATCCGAGGGAGCTCCAAGGGGCTCTGAGGGAGATCTGAGGGAGCTCCGAGGAAGCTCCGAGGGGATCAGAGTGGGCTCCAAGGGGCTCTGTGGGGAGTTCCGAGGGGGCTTTGCGGGAACTCTGAGGGGATATGAGGGGGCTCTGAGGAGGATCCGAGGGAGCTCCAAGGGGCTCTGAGGAAGCGGTGAGGGGACTCTGACTGAGCTCCAAGGGGCTCTGAGGAGCTCTGAGTGGTCTCTGAGGGAGCTCCGAGGGGCCTTTGCGGGAACTCTGAGGAGGCTCCGAAGCGCTCTTGGGAGGATCAGAGGGGCTCAGAGAGAGCTCCGAGGAGGCTTTGCGGGAACTGAGGATGCGGCTCTGAGGTGAAGTGAGAGGGTTCTGAGGGGTTCTGAGGAGCTCGGGAGGGGCTCCAAGGGGGCTCTGAGGTCTCCAGGCCAGCATTTGGGGCCGGCTTTGAGGAGCTCTGGGGGCTCTGATGAGCTTTGAGGAAGCGTGGTGGGGGTCCGAGGGCTCTGGGTGGGCCGGGATTTGGAGCTCGGAGCGGGGCTCAGATGGAGCTCCGAGGGGGGGCTCTGATGGAGCTCCGGGGTGTGGGGTGGGCTCGGATGGAGCTCCGAGGGGGGCTCAGATGGAGCTCCGAGGGGGGTCTCTGATGGAGCTCCGGGGCGTGGGAGGGGCACGGATGGAGCTCCGAGGAGGGCTCAGATGGAGCTCTGAGAGGAAGCTCCGAGGGGGGCTCAGATGAAGCTCCAAAGTGGACTGTGATGGAGCTCCGAGGTGGCTCGGATGGAGCTCCGAGAGGGGCTCAGATGGAGCTCCGAGGTGGACTGTGATGGAGCTCCAAGGGGGGCTCAGGTGGAGCTCCAAGGTGGACTGTGATGGAGCTCCGAGGTGGCTCGGATGGAGCTCCGAGGTGGCTCTGATGGAGCTCCGAGGGGGGCTCGGATGGAGCTCTGAGGGGGCTCGGATGGAGCTCCAAGGGGGGCTCGGATGGAGCTCCGAGGGGAAGCTCCGAGGGGGGCTCAGATGAAGCTCCAAAGTGGACTGTGATGGAGCTCCGAGAGGGGCTCGGACAGAGCTCCGAGGGGACTTGGATGGAGCTCTGAGGGGAAGCTCCGAGGGCGGATCAGATGAAGCTCCGAGGGGACTCAGGTGGAGCTCCGAGGGGACTCGGAGCTCCGAGGAGGGCTCAGATGGAGCTGCAAGGTGGACTGTGATGGAGCTCCGAGGTGGCTCTGATGGAGCTCCGAGGGGGGCTCGGATGGAGCTCCAAGGTGGACTGTGCTGGAGCTCCAAGGTGGCTCAGATGGAGCTCCGAGGGGGGGGGCTCAGATGGAGCTCCGAGGGGGGCTCAGGATGGAGCTCCGAGGTGGCTCGGATGGAGCTCCGAGGTGGCTCAGATGGAGCTCCGAGGTGGCTCTGATGGAGCTCCGAGGGGGGGGCTCAGATGGAGCTCCGAGGGGGGGCTCGGATGGAGCTCCGAGGGGGGGGCTCGGATGGAGCTCCGAGGTGGCTTGGATGGAGCTCCGAGGTGGCTCAGATGGAGCTCCAAGGTGGACTGTGATGGAACTCCGAGGTGGCTCGGATGGAGCTCCAAGGTGGCTCAGATGGAGCTCCGAGGTGGCTCGGATGGAGCTCCGAGGGGGGGGCTCAGATGGAGCTCCGAGAGGGGGGCTCAGATGGAGCTCCGAGGTGGCTCAGATGGAGCTCCGAGGTGGCTCAGATGGAGCTCCGAGGTGGACTGTGCTGGAGCTCCAAGGTGGCTCAGATGGAGCTCCGAGGTGGCTCAGATGGAGCTGCAAGGTGGACTGTGATGGAGTTCCGAGGTGGACTGTGATGGAGCTCCGAGGTGGCTCTGATGGAGCTCCGAGGTGGCTCAGGATGGAGCTCCGAGG